AAACAAACTATTTATATGAACTCGAAAAGACTACGCAAGATATCATTAATGCGGTTTTGAATGTGCAAAAGAATAACGCTGGGGCTGACTCTGTTACTATTCCTAATACAACCAAAAATATATCCTTTTTTTTTATTTTATTTTATTGACAGATTTCTTATTTTAAGATTGGATCTTTAATGAACAATGAATGTTCTTTCTTTTAGTACATTAAACTTCCTTCTCGCACGATAACGCTTTCTGAACTAAGACGATTAAGAAGGCAGTTCACAAATATTAACAAGATGCATACGTTAGAGGTAGATCGAGTAGCAGAATTGTTTGTCGAATATCTCAATACAAACATCAATCGATAATACTTTCGGAAATTTTTTTTATTGGGTGCTATAGTGTTTACAATGATGGGTCAAGGAATTTTATTATCATTGTAAAAGTGCAAAACTCATACAATATTTAACATTTAGAATAATTACTAGATTTTTGTTATTACTCGGTATTTCTTCGATTTAATAGGTGTCGCGGCTGAAGCTGGAATTAGGACCTCTATTTAAAAACATAAGCCCTACCAAAATCTACTTATACTCTTTTATTATCAAAACTAACCCTAAATCCTAACCTAACTATTAAAAAGAAAGTTCATATTAAAATAATTAAAATTTCCCGCGATAATAGATAAAAAAAAATGCATATTGCTATGATCGAAATTGAGATTTAATCCGAGTGAAAAAAGTACCTGATCACATTCTACATAGATCACGTAATATTTTCCTAATGTTTCAAAATCTTTAGTTTATAAAGGTGGTTTATTCTTAAAATACAATCAAATTTTTATAACTGATAATGTTTTTTTAAAAACGTATTGCATTATTTTACGGTTAGCTAATAAAATTTAAAGTTTACAATTCGTTGCAAATAATTATGTAATTTATCTGGCAGTTGGTAAAGCAACTTTTAATATATTTTTTTTTAAACACTTTCGGATCTATTTAGCGTTTTTTTTTTTTTTTTTTTTTTAGCCAGAGGAAACCTTCAAAAGGCGACTAAAGGTGTTACCCTCTAGACAGTGTGAGATTCTTACTCACTAAAACCTCTGGTGTAAGTGTTTTCGTAAAGTATGACCTGACTCATAAAACAAAAACACCTACGCGAAAAAAAATAAAGGACCCTGATAAGATTTAAAATTTTAAAAAAAAACAATGCGAATACTTACACTCATCAGGGTCAAAGGGGCCTTGCCAGGGAGGAGGGAAACTGAGTCCATTCACCAAAGGCGAATGAAACCAGACATATTCATAAAATACTTACCACTGAAAGAAACCCAATGTGGGAATCTTTCAAAAACGAAAGGTTAAATAGGCGTAGCAACCGAACACAAGCGTGAACAGAACGAAACACTTATCTTAATAAGAGTTAACCACTTCCAAAAGGTCTTTACGTATGAAAAGAAATAAATAATATATAGAAAAAATAAAAGTCTTCTTGTAAGCTCGACGTGTAAAAAAAATAAAGGCTAATAAGAAAGTGTAACAAGTACCAAAGTATAATATTATTGTTGTGGTCGTGGTTGAAAAAGAAAGACTAGATTTGATGAGTTATCAAATTGCGTTTTTATATTTTCGCATCACTTATTTTCACGTAAATGGCCAATCAGTGAGTTCGAATTTTGATTATCTTGATTATCTGTATCTTGACGCGTATGCAACGCGTCGGAGCTTAGAAAAATTTATTACAGTAGTAAAAAAAAAAATTTACGCATTACTAGAGAACGTGCATTACCTTATACAGTATATGGACTTGGTGCTGAAAAGTAGGGATGTGAACAGTCTCGACTCGCTCCAAAAGTCAAGTCTTTGTTAAATGTTCGGTCCCAAGCAGACTTGGGACTTCGACTCGCATCTGCACGTGCATTTTATATTTAGATATTGCATAAAAAAATGCGTATTCATGCATATTTTGCACGCATTCGTATTTTTTAAATATACTAGATGCACGTGTAGATGCGAGTCGAAGTCTCAAGTCCGAGCATTTAGCATTTAACAAAGACTTGACTTTTGAGTCGAGTCGGGACCAGACCGGACTTTTCTGAAAAGGGACCAAATTGGCAAAAAAAGTGTTCACAAAAAATCAATACCATAAATTAGAATCACATGATTTTGGTACAGTCGACTCTGGATATAACGAACCTTTTTATAACAAACACACTATATAATGAACTTTTTTTTCAAATTTAATACAAGTTCGGTATATAAAATATAGTAAATTACTATATAACGAACTTTTAAAAATTTTTACTATAAGACTCGTCAGTTCGTTATAAACAGAGTTGACTGTACGACCATGTAACTTAAAGAAAACCACACTTTTTTGATTCTGACCAATTAGCATCATTCACGGGGAACTTCGAGAAATCACTTTCATATACTTCGTAACAAAAGAAATTCCATCATCACTGACCCTAACCGAGCGAGATATTACTTTTAATAAGTCAATTCAGCCGATAGAAATTCCGTAGAATCGCTGGAATATTATGCAAATGTAATAGAATATAATCGATATAAAAGGGACGTTGAAAACAATTAATTTCAACACCCATTTCCTCTTCAAACCCAATCGACCTTCTACACTTTATACTACAGTACTATAGTCTCTGATTCCTGCTAACAACCGGGTTGCTTCGAGCAGGCCGGCCGATACGTTTGGATCATATCTTCGTTTCAGTTTTAATTATTTAAAATTACCAATTCAATTTATTCTGCGGATTTAAAGCCTTTCATTGAATTTACCTTTGGCTGTCCGGAATTCTTCCAAACCACATAATTAAGTGTATATCTATGCTTTTCGAAAAATCTTGACTAACATTATAAGATTTTATTAACACTCGAGTCCTGGAATCGTCTCAATAAAACAGTCATTTTGATGGTAAAATCATTAGTTATGTTCAAAGCAAAGATACATATATCTGTATAATGATAATCGATTATACTGTTATATGTAATTAGGTTAGCCTGGATATAATAGTGTGATATATACATAAAAAAAAAAATCGCGTGAGATTTTGTTCGAATTTTGCAAACATGACTATTCGTTTTTTGGATAATAAAACTGTTCAAAAACTACGCGCATTTCATGTTTCATCAGTGGTACAATGTGTAGTCGAACTTGTTCAAAACAGTAAGCTCGAATTTGTACACGAGTTTGTTTTCTGGAATGTACTTCGCATTTTTATTTTACTGAAAACACGTATTAGGTCTCGATGCCATGGCAACTACAATCGAAATTCATGTTGATATGACAAAATATTTCATACAAGTTATCGACAATGGAAGCGGAATCCCACCCACTGATATGGATAAAATTGGACAGCGACACGGTATTGTTCTCTAGCAGTTAAAAGTACCTTTTAATGCTTGTGGGACATGATTAATTTAAATTTCCGTACATATTATAGCCACGTCAAAATGTCATACATTGGAAGACTTAGCGCATATAAAGACATACGGGTTTCGCGGAGAAGGTCTTAATTCAATAGTTTGCTTCAATAATTATAATTTATTTTTTAACTATATAACTAATACCTTATTTATAATTTAAAGCACTCGCAAGCTTGGCTGAAATCTCAATAATGGAAATAATTAGTAAACATTCTGATTATTACGATACTTACTGTGTCATAATCAAGGTCCAATACACACATATCATTCTTGCACATGTATATATTATTATATATATTTTTCCTAATGTTTTTTTTTCTACTTTTTAGGGTGGGCTTCGTCTTCAACTAGGTCCGACTCGAAATAGTGAACGTGCAAAACCTGGAACTATAGCAATAATCCGTGATTTATTCTATACGGTGCGATATCATAAAAGCAGAAGTGGTTATATATATTAAAATTGTAATAATTTATTTTTCCAATTTAGTATCCAGTTCGTAGAAAAATGCAATCTGTTAATACGATCACGAACGAACTGGAAAATGTTAAAAAAGCTGTTGAAATATTAGCATTAATAAACCCTCAAGTGGCTTTTACTCTGGTTGATGCGTCGATAGATAGAAAAATAGTTAACACGAGGAAGGTAAGTACTTTTAAGTTTAGAATAAGTTCTCAGTTGAAAATTTTTATTGTTTATTAATATACTTGATTGAATTACATATTCATATTTGATGATAAGAACTTTCTGCTACACAAAATTATATATTATTAGGCTTCGTCAACTATTCCTACTATTTCTACATTCCGACAACTTTACGGCGCTTCTTTAGCACAGGCATGTATGAAAATATGATTGGAGCATATGAATTTATATATGTTTTATGATAAGTGTATGTATGTAACGCTATCAATATTTTATTGTAGAATCTTGAATCGGTTTATGCAAAAGAAGACGACATCCAAATTGATGGATTTTTTTCGTTAAAAGGTTTACACATAAAAGTATGTTCTAATTACTTTTTTAATTTGATCTTGTTCTATAGTACACCCATATTGATGAATTCAATTCCTTATAATTAAAGAATCATCAATATTTTTGTGCGTATTTTATCACCATTTAATGTAGTGTTACTATTCTTGTGTGCATGTCCTCTGATTATCCTGTTTTCGATGCTAAAAAGATGTCAATAAACGTTTCATTGCTAACAATGAATTGTATAAACTAATCGATGATTTATTTAACCAAAGCAACTTTGGAAAAAAGGTAAGATTTTTATTATTATCATAAGATTTACATTTTGTTTTTAATCATGATATGTTTCATTAGTTCAACGAAGATTCAATTTTGAAATCGAAATCGGAATTTCCAGGCAAATCAAGTGAGTTGAAATTATTGTGCTATATATGTTATCCAATGTAATGTGAGCTCCTTGTGTAAATTATTTATTTTTAATAGAAAAGAATGTATTAACAAAGTCATTGGAAAAATATCCTATTTTCTTCATTCATATTACTTGCCCAACAACGGATTATGATATATCTTTGGATCCAGCTAAGAATATAATAGAATTTGAGGTCATTTTTTTAATCTAAAAATAATTCATTCACTATTCCTGAATATTTTAACTCTAACGCTCTTGACGTTTTTAGAACTGGCCAAAGATCATGGATCTTTTATCGAGTCTTGTGACTCAATTTTTATTATGTCATGGGTTTTTAATGCAAGATATGGTGGCATCGAATGTGAAAAATATTAATGCTTCAACAAATGATAATAAGTCAAGAGTTAGACCTAGCTGCAATTTGCCATTGTCATTTGAGGACGTGACGCATATAAAAAGTGGTGGAAGGCAACCATATATTTTCCAAGACGAAGAATTGAAAGGTGGTCCATATAGTATGATATCTAAAAATGTCAACGAGTCCGAAAACATTTTGGTTACATCAAAAAAAATCGTGAAAATAAAAAAAAATGAATATGTAAAGTGGATAGAACCTCATACCAAACAAGAATTTTATATAGATACGCGCACTGGAAGTTCGTGAGTAACGGTGTTCTATCATTTTTTATACAATAGTCCGGAACTCATAAATATGCATTATTTTAGATATAGAAATATACCTGGGCAGGCCAAATCTACATCAGAAAACTGTACAAAAGCAAGAATAGATCGAAGCCGATTACGTACATCGAATGATAAAAACATCGGCGATTTATATGCTACATCATGGGCAAAAAACGCGTTAGAGGTATTAATAGCGATGATTTATAAGTGTCTAGAAAAAAAATCCTCACTAAAGAAATTTAATATAACAATAGAAATGGAATAACCCCGTGTTTCAAAGTTATGAAGCACCAATTCCTTTGCTCAAACACATATCAACGTGTAATAAAAAGTCATCTGTAAAGAGCAGCTTTTTTTCTTGTAATGATCTTGTACAATCAGATTTTGTTGAGCATCGATTCAGCAAGCAAGATTTCGCTCAGGCTCAAGTCATTGGTCAAGTTGACGATAAGTTTATTGCTTGCAAATTACCTTATTCACGAGCGGTTGGTCCTGATCTTAGGGACGGTACACAACAGATTTTAGTTTTAGTTGATCAACATGCAGCAGACGAACGTGTACGTGTTGAAATGCTGATGAAAGAGTTTTGTGATTTCAAAAATAAGGAACGAGTGCAAAATATGAATGATAATGAGATTCATCCAATAAATTCTCTTGTCGAGACAGTTCAAATAAATCCCCCTAATAAAATAGTTTTAACAGAACGAGAGGTTCGAGTTGTGAAGAGATTTGAAGCTAATTTTAATAGTTGGGGAATTTTCTTTAGTGATAATATGGATACAAAACAAGATAATGCATCGCTTTCATTCACAACGCCATTTGTATCTCCACATTTTATCGCATCGTCAACCGACAATGACCATATCCCTATTTATGTTACCCATCTTCCTAAAATGATTGCTGATCGCTGTGTATTTGATTCACGAGTGACGCAAGAACTCTTACGTCAACATTTGTACTGGTTGGAAGATACGGGTGGAATTGGTATTAGTAACGTAGAAATTGAAAATCGTCCCGATACCAATGCACAAAGTGATTGGAAGACAATTATAAGACAATGTCCGAGAGGGATAATTGATATAGTGAATTCGAAGGCCTGTCGAGGTATTTATTAAAGTAACTAATTTACATAACTAATTTACGAATAAATTCTAATATGTACATTAATTGAAGGTGCAATCAAATTCAATGATAAACTGACTCTGAATCAATGTCAAGAATTAATTTCAGAGCTCGCACTTTGCGATTTTCCATTTCAGTGTGCACATGGCAGGTAATCCTTATTTCTTTTAGAATGCCTACTTTATCGAGTTATAAACTATTTTGCTAAAACTAATTTGCTGCTTTTTTTTTGCCGTTGATCATATAAGGCCTTCCATGATTCCTATTATATATTTAGATGAATTTGCAAAAACAACACAAACCTCTTACCAAAATAAATCGCAACTTAAACATAATAAATTATATAGGACTAACGAAAAATCAGAGACCACCTTTGATCAACTCGTAAACTTTAGTTGGAAAAAACGCAAAATTAATTTGGAGCAATTTCGACAATAAGGTCAATTTATTCACATATATTAATATAATAGAAGTCATTATTGGTATTACATTTATAAACTTGTACATGTTATCTATTATTGAATGCATTTAAAAGAATATAAATTATGAATTAATTAATTGCTTCAAAATGAGAAATTTTTGATGCCATTAAAAGTATAGATTAATAATTAACATCAGCACTAAATTATAATGTGTTAAGACTAATTCTACTATTTTCTTAAATTCTTAAAAACAAAATTTAGCAAGTTTTCTAAAAGACTATATATTATTTACAAACACCCAATATGAATGTAATGAATGTAAAAAGAATAATAAATTCATGCTAAAATTAATTAATTAGCATGATTTAAATGATATGGTTCAACCTCATTCTCACGCTCTTCCGGATTGCGCCTCCAAATCTCCTCAGGTGAAAGGTCACTTCTATAGACAACTGAAGGACCTGAAGAATTATGATCAACTTTAACAAATCGTTGCGTTGATTGTTGTTGATCATTTTGCTGCCATTTTGTTGTCTGTCGCTTTTGAGTATTCGTATTTAATTTAGGTTGTGGTTTACGTAACAATGGTTTCAAAACGCGTTCAAAAAGTAAAGTAGCACCTCTTGATTGATCATTCTGAGCCCAGTATAAAAATATTAATTTTAAGAAATTATAACCTGGTAATAATTTAAGAAGTTGAGTTGACCAATAATCAGCTATTTGAAGCCAACCATAAACAGTCCAGTAAGTTAGCCATTGTTTTTGTTCAGCATTTAATTCATTATCGTTAGAAGATTGTTGATAGATGACTTTGATTGAACGATAAGTAGGATAAACCACACCAACTAAGTTACATAATAGATAGATAGAATTTTTGTACATGTGCCTAGCCGCTAAAGATGCAATAATAATAAGAATGATAAAGAGGTAGAAAGGAGATAAACCCAGTTTTACAAGTTGTGAAAATAACCAAGTTTTCATACATCTACTCTCTAAGAATGAAACGCGTGTCACGAATACTTGTCGAAAGAAGTCGGTTACAGGAACAAGATTTAAAGGACTATATTTTTCAACATCTGTCAAGACTTGTTCTAGAAAAACAGTTGTTGGTAAGTTTTGAGGAGGTTGTTCTTGGTTTGCATCAGTTTGCATCGTTCTTCACAGTGTTCCCTAATAGGCGTTATGCCATAAAATATTGAAATAGCTGAAAGATTTAGACATGATAACGATTTTGATGATCTGATTTTAGTGGCTAGTGTGTTACAAACCAGTATTAAACTATAGTGTGAAATTCTACTCATTTTACTCGAGGAAAGACTAAGAAATTGTTACACGAGTATTGAGACAAATTTTCAAAAGTCGAAATAAATAGAATGTTGTTACGTATAAATCAGAAAACAACTTTATTATTTGTATATTTGTAAATAGATATGTATAAAGTGAATACGGTAAACTAATCAATCTCCAATATTATAAAAAGTGAAAATATATATATTTAATCAAAAAATCTTTTCTAACAGATCTCTTACATACGTACGTAGAATAGATTTCTATTTCTTTAATAGTTAATAGTTATTTAGGATTACCCGAAATACATAATAATTAACCAATACGTATAATTTACCAATCAAAATAGAATTAGCCAATCAGAATTAATTGTAATTTCAAAATTTGGCGCTTTTTTATTAAAAAATTTTTAACAACCAAATTTGCCAATCTGGACGAATAGATATAAGGGAGAGTCGGGTATTCTGCGCGGGTGGGTAATTTGGCGCACTTAAGTTTTTCAGCTATATCCCGTTAAACAGCACTCAGAATCAAATTATATTATTCATATGTTCAAATTTTCTTTTAATTTTTACTATAATTTCCTCATTTGGAGGGAAGGACCGGTTTTATTTTTTTTAACATATGAAAAATAAAACCGGTTCCAAACTCTAGGAGGGATACGGTAATACGTACGATCAGTGTAAAAAAAATTGTTTGAGAAGTATGTGCGCACTCATATGATCACATGCTTTCTTCATATTAAAATAAGAAAATTTCATGTGCGATCCGCACATGCGCACATCGAATTTTTTGCACTAAATACGATACCTGAAAAAACATAGCAGTTTTTAATAGATTTTAAAAGTTTAAAGTTCGAAGTTTTTTTTTAAACTAGAAAAACGGCGACTTTTTGTAGGCTGGAGTTTTAATTCTTAGGCCTTATACTTTAGAATTAAAATTAAAATACAGTATAACCTGTCAAAACCGATACTGTCAAAACCGATAACTTGTCAAAACTGATAAAAAATTGATCCACCATCTCTTAGTAATTTTACTCCTCAAACCTGATAACCTGTCAAAACTTATACAAATTTGATCCATCATGCACATCGGTTTTGACAGGTTATACTGTATATTTAATTAAGAGATGGTGGATCAATTTTTTATCAGTTTTGACAGGTTATTGGTTTTGACAGTATCAGTTTTGACAGGTTATACTGTATATTGATATTATATATATATCTAATATCTCGTGGGTCATGTGCAATGATTTATTGGATAATAAACATTAATTAATTTAAAAATAGAATTTTGCTATTTATCACCACTGGTGATTATTACTGGTATTGCTATATCTCAAAAACATACTAAGTAAACAGGATTGGGTATTCTAAATAAAAATGTTCAGAACTCTTAAAAATCTTACAAAAACTAAAATTAGGACTTTATATTAGCTCTATATTATATTATATAAAAAAAAAATAATTCTTTAATTTCTAACCCTAACTTTAACAAATCTTAGAACTAGTGATAATCACTACTGGTGATATGTAAAAGTTTTTATTTAAAAAATAAATAAATAAATAAAATAAACTAAATAAAATAAAAAATCTAATTTATATTATAAATTGCAAATGCTATAACAGTCAGAAAATATATTATATAGTAATATATAAGTTTTTTTTTTTTTTTTTAAACTTAGGCAGTTTTATCAATAATTTATTTTTTTTTTTTTTTAATATTAAGGTGACCACTTAAGTCCCCGGCACTTAGCTTTATTCAGATAAATACAATATTACATCAATTTCACGAGGATACAACTAGCCACACGTGTACTTTTGGTACTAATTTAAGTAGTTTACCTGGGTTCTACACTAGCCGCCATACCTGCAACCTAACTAGGAGATTACCTATTTAAGCTCTCTGATTATTTTAACTAACGAGAGTACGACTAGCCATACATGCAACTTTTGGTTACCTATTTAAGTAGTCTGCCCTAGGCTTCACACTAGCTGCTGTACCTGCACCCAACACATTATTTTTGATCTAAGTAATACACATATTATATTTAAATATATATTTGAAAAGATAAAGTGCTAATTTTTGAAAGAGAGCACAAATCTTTAGAAATAATTGTTAGCTATTATTGGAGATATTTTCATCACTAGATATAGTTTTTAATTATTAAGAATTATAAATATATAGCTAGTATGGTTTTGAGTTTAAAAGAATAATTTACAGATACTTCATATCTATTTGAATTATCCTGACCTATAATATTCACAATGAGGTTTTTGTTTTTTTGAGTGGGTCAGTAAAAATAACTAGTTCTTTTTTTTTATTTTATTTAAAATCAGGAATGTGAAATAGGAATCGAGCTTTGTTACTTTGGTGTTGTCATTGAGTAGATAGATCACTCCAGTTTTTTTATTGTTGAAGCTTTCACATTTATGTTTTCACTGCCTCAAATAATTTAGAGAAGTAAAATTTTATTTGTAGTTATGTGTATTTTGTTTCATAAATCTAGATTAACTGCCTTTTTAGATGACTGTGTACTATATTGGCTAGTCGAAAAATGTGTGCTAAAATTGGCCATTCTTTTTTAATTTTACTTTTTTAGAAAATATTTGAAGTAGGACTAAGCGATTGTCTTAGATAAGTACCAGCATTTTGTTTTGTTTTCTTTATTATTATGTTTTTTTTTTTGTGGCCAATACTAATTTCTCTTTTTTTTAGATACTTCATTTAAATCAGAGACAAGAAATGAGAGTCGAGCTTTCACTAATATGACTTTATCCCTTCAGTTTCGTCATTGGAGCCTTCACGGTTATAATTTAACTGTCTCAAATAATTCAGAAAAGTAAAAATTTTATTTGTATATAGTTATGTGTATTTTGTTTCATAAAACTAGATTAACTGCTTCTTTAGATGACTGTGTGCTATATTGGCCAGTCAAAAAATATGTGCTAAAATTGGCCATTCTTCTTGATTTTACTTTTCTAGAAAAAATTCAAAGTGAGAATAAGTGATTGTCTTATATAAGTACTAGTACTTTGTTTTTCTTTTATTTCTCTTTCTTTCAGTTACTTTATTTACTAATACGAATTTACAGATTTTTGGTAAACTATCTCATAAATCATGGAGATTTTTGAAAAAATTGCAAATTGCACATCACTAATTTAAAGTCGACTAGTAAGTAGCTATTGTTTTTTATAATCAAATTCCTATCACTGGATAAATTTCCAGTAATTAAAGTTTAACTTCTGACATGTTCTCAATCTTTTTAATCATTGATTTAGGTGCTTGAGATGGACTTAAATATTAATGATAATGATAGGTGAATTTAAAATAAAGGCTTAGTAGATTGGTTTCAGAATTACTACAGTAACTTATTTTCAAAATAAATGGGGTTTTAAAATCTGATTGAATTATACATAGTAACCGCATAAAAGTCCGTTGACACGTGACCAACCAATTACAGTCTGACCTCTCTATAGCTACCTCCTATATAAGCACATTTTCTTTATAAGCATACTTTTTAAAAACAAACTATTATTAAATATAATAAATTGACCTCTATAACTGCCATACTTCTCTATAATCACCCATTTTTGTATCCCAAGTGTGTGATTATAAAGAGGTTTGACTGTATCAGGTGTAACGTGCAAACAAAAACTGCTGACTTTTTCAAAAAATTGTTCATACCGTATTTTCGCGAAATAACGTGTAGGGGTATAATTTCAAATTTTGGCTCAAATTAAGCTTAATTCGAGCCATTATTCTAAATAACATTCATGAGCGTTATTACGCGAAAATATGTTAATTCAAAATTTCGATTATAAAATCACCTGTGTATTAAAAAAAATTCCTTGCAAAATTTTGCTATATATAAACCTCATCTAACCCGAACGCTCACCCTTTAACGTCAATAGTTAATTTTTTAATTAAAAAATGCATTGACGATCTACGGCTTAAATCACGTGTCCGCGAAATTTTATGTTTCTACAACGTAGGTTACTACAGTATGTATAAATAGTAAATAAGTATTGAAATCATTCATTACTCCATTTTATCAGAATACTGTATTAGAAAATTTGAAAGTTCATTGTGCGCTATTTATTTAATGCCATACTTGATCTAAATCCATTATTTGAGTATATTACTTATGCACTATACCGCATAAAAATTTTTACAATGACTAAAGATTATATGTGAATCATTATTATAAGAAATCGATCAGCCGATTTTGAAAAAAACAGCCGAATATTGATGCCACATAAACTGGGATAGTTTGAAAGATAAAGCTAAGCTTCACAAACATTGTTGATTTCAGCACTTAAATCTGAAAGTTCATCAAAAACTGCAAAAAAATTCGGTATTGGAATAAGTTTCAATTTCTAATCATATTGTGCAAATTCTAGTTTTATTATAAATAAACTTTTGTGGAATTTTCGTGAAGTCACGTATTAAATTATTTGCAACTATACTAAAGTATATTACGAGTGTAATATGCTAGTTTTATATACTCAAATACGATTTTTGTAGTATACACCACTGCTTTATTCAATCATACACCACAACTATTCGTAACACATTAGAGAATAGCATACGATACAGGAAATTTTTTTGTATTGGAGTTAATTTCACCCCATTTGCTGTTACCGCAGCACGTGATAGACGATGAAAAAATTTGGTTAAACTAAAAATACCGAAACAAATACAGAATATAATAGTATTTTAATATACTTTAGAAGTTTGCAATTCGGGCTCGTGCCTGTGTCCAACAAAAGGTACAGGCACGGGCATTTGCAAACCCTTGATATATTTTTGATAGATGTCTTGTATAATAAATTAAAATTGCTTAGAAAATATTTCATGGGAAT